GGGGGGGGGGCTGCGTGCTGGTTTGGGTTTCCCATAGCAGAGGCGTGATGCTGACCAAGACTGTAGGTGTGGAGCGTGACATAGCGTGGCTTAGGAAAGAACAAAAGAGTGTGAGATAGCGTGACTTGGGCACATGCGGGAACCAGGAAGTGAGCAGAGGCCGCTGGGGAAAGGGCACCAACAGGCTTCGAACTTCTGATTTGGACAGAATGCAGTGTCTACAGCGTGTGAGACACGGAAGCAGTCTGATGCACATCTGCCTTCCCAATCTTATCACAAGGGAGAGGGAGGGTGGGAAGGAGCAGAAGGGAACAGGAGGAAGAGGACGAGAACTAACTTCCTAATGATAACAGCATGTGTCGGCTCCCCCTCCTCGCTCCCCGCCCCACCACCACCACACACACACACAGCGCTGCTGTGAGCAGTCAGGGACTCCGCTCCTGCAGGACCCTCCAGACAAGCAAGCAGAAAAGCCTCCGCCGAGAGAGCTCGGCAGGGCATCCAAGAGTGGGTGGCAAGCCCAACTAGGAGCTCATGGCATGTCCTCGGGCTTTCTGAAGCCCCTCACAGAAACACACCGACACCAGCTGGGCCACGTTCCCAACCTGGCGCTCAGTCACCAAGAGCAGAGCTTACCCCGTCCTGGTCCCCTGCTCCCAAGCAGACGGGCATCTCAGGGTCTCGACTAACGGCGTGCCGACGGTTCTGTCTGCCTTGTCAGAGAGACGGGGCAGACTCACAGGCTCTCCCTCCCAAGCCCTCACGCTACTGTGATTCACCGGAGGGATGCAGGCCCAGCCCAGACTGCCACGGCACAAAATCCCCCAATGGAGCTCAGAGCCCCCAATGGACAGATATGCTGGGAGGAGCCAGGAGAGGGCACCGCGGGTCCAGGGGCAGAACTCTTGCGTCGGGAGATCAGGTTCGGGTCCAGGTCAGTGCAGCCCATCTGTCTGTCAGTGGAGACCTGCGGGCTGCTGTGTGTGATGCTGAGCAGGTTATCAGCGGAGCTCCCAGAGCCGAGAGAGGCTAGAAAGAAAGACCAGGCCGTGTACTTCCGACAGACAACCAAGGAAAACCAGTCATGAAGATGGCGCAGGCCAGGGGCCAAGCTCTGGACTGCACACAGTCTCCATGGGTTGGAGCCGACTCTGCCACAGTCAACAGCACCGTTAGGTAGGGATCTCAGGTCACCCCTCCCGACTCCTCTGAAATATCCCACTGAGGGTCCCCTCTCTGCTGACCACTCCAAGAGCCCAGAGCCACTGCCTTTCCCAGCTGTCCTGTCTACAAGGACCCTTGCCCAGTCACCCCAGTCTCCAGCCTCATTCTTGGACGTATTTGGGAGGACTGTGGCTGGGAGGGTTTGAAAATCCTGCCTGCTGCCATGGCAACTGAGAGGCCCAGGAGACAGGCGGGTGGGAAGGTTCCCCCCCTCAATTCTTCCCTGGAGCAAGACGTCTACCCCAGGCTCTGCAGGACGAAGCCACACAGACAGAAGCAGGCCCGGCCAGGAGTGTGGCTGTCCGGTGGGGCCCTGCTCAGAGCGACCCTGGGGGACTGCTCAGTGGGCCCCATGGGCATTCTAGGCTGTCATCATCACAGGATGGAGAGCTGGTGTCTGCTTCCAGAAAGACGGCTGTGATGTGCTGTCACGTCGGTTCCGACTGACAGCGAGCCCATGTACAATGGAATGAAGATCAGCGCCTGGTCCTGCCCCATCCTCACATCGCTCTGCTTAGACTCATTGTTGCGGCCCACAGCACAGCCTTGGAAGCCTTGTGGGGCAAGTCCACTACCTGAGTGAGCAGGTGGGTGGCAGTGTATCAGAGGGCAGTGAGTTAGCGGTTTGGGGGGTTGATCTTTACCAGAGCAGGCAGTGTGACCGGGATGTGTCACCGGTCCAGTGCCCTCAAACCCCCCATGCAGCATTGGGGGCAGCAGCGCCAGGTAAGTGAGTCTCTGCTTCCTGTTCCTGTTGCACCTTCTAGAAAGTCAGAGGCCAGCAGTCAGACCATGGAGGGCCCGGCTGCAACATGTCACTGAATCCCAGTGCTGGGCTTCAGCCGTAAGGAACTTGCCCCAAGCACCTGACCTCCCAGAGGCCCACCACGGACTGACCCAGGAACTTGTGAGAAACGAGGTGCCCAGACCTAAAGTGGCAGTGTGGTGGTTACATATTGGACTGCGATCTGAAAGGTCAGCAGTTCAAAACCACCAGATGCTGAGGCAGGAAGACAGGGCTTTCTACGCTCATACAGAGTTATAGTCTTGGAAACCCACAGGGACAGTTCTACCCTGCCCTGTGGCGTCACTGAGTCTGGGTTGGGTTTTCGTGTTTGGCTTAGTGATTCTGGCTCATGGGCTCCCCATCGCATTTTCTATGGCTGTTCTTTCAGGAGCAGGTCACCAGGCCTTTCCTCTGAGGTGCCAACCTCTTGGATAACAGCTCCGATTCCACCGAGACCCGTGGGCACCATTCCAAGAAGGAGATGTGAAATTGGGGTAAGCCTCATGGGGTGGGCCCGGGAGACGGGGACTCTGGCACACAAGAGGACGTGGGGTGAAGCGGGAACAAAGGGTTGTGGGGTCACAGGGCTGGCCACACCCTGCTAAGCAGCCCAAGAAGCACCCATCCTGAGCCCCAATGTACAGAGGGATTGGAGCCAGAAAGCCATCAGGCACACGTGGTCAGAGGAGAACAAAGGCTACCTCACCACGTTAAGTTCCCGAGTTCAACTCTCACTGCCGCCGAGTCGA